CGGAAAGGAAAGGAAAGGAAAGGAAAGGAAAGGAAAGGAAAGGAAAGGAAAGGAAAGGAAAGGAAAGGAAAGGAAAGGAAAGGAAAGGAAAGGAAAGGAAAGGAAAGGAAAGGAAAGGAAAGGAAAGGAAAGGAAAGGAAAGATATATTTGCAGTCCTTTTTGTTGGACCAAATTTTTAGAGGTTTTCTTTACTGATAGAAATGACCTGGTTCCCTTTCCATTTTAAAGTTTAATCATGCTGGTATTTTGGTGCTGAAAATACAAATGAATCCTCATTACAACCACGTACATGCAGGGTCAGTAAATTCTTTCACTTGGAAAACTAGTGAGATGAAAATGAGATTGTTAATAGAATATCCATCACATTGATGAAACTGTTGATTGAAATTCACCCTCACACATTGCCTATTTGTAATTTCTCTGTAACAATGTATATTAATGGGGTCTTGCTACTTTCTTACTAGTGTTAAAATGATAGGAAATGTTTCCAATTCAAAACCGTCTTGCTACTGTGTTTTGCAAGAGCAAACCTTAGTTCATGTATAAAAATCAATTACTTGTATGGTCGGAATATAACTTAGAATGTATTATTAGAAAAAAAAAGGAGTCTTATTTGCATCACTCCATGTTAACGGAGTCCTTCTGGTCTAAGTCAAGTCATCTCTACTATCTAGATCCATATGTTTCACCTGTGGAATTCACATGCCTATTGTCACCACAGAACTGCATTCCTTGTCTTTGGGAAGGCAGGAATTCACTCTCTAAATCTTACAGCCTGGCCCATAAGATTTCATTAATAAAATCAGAGATCATCTTTACAGTCAACAGATATGGTGCACAAGAGAACTGCAGTGCAGACTCTATGGTTGATGCCTTTATGTTGCACAGACCTTATTTATATTTATGAGTGAGTCAGACTGCTTTTTGGACCCTTTCTCCCATGCAGGGATCTGTGCTCTCTGCCTTCACTGCTCTGCCCCTTCAGTGCTCTAAATAACAGAAACATGGGGATGAAGAGGACAGCTTCTTGTTTTCTCATTTTCTTGCCCTGCCAATCGATCCTGTGGCCAACTGGCCCAGAACAGCTGCTTGTTTCAGAGCAAGCATCCAAACTTTCCCTGAAAGTCCTGTTGTTCTCATTCCACAGGTTACAACAGGAAAAGAAATATCTTAGTTGGCATTGAATTTCTCAGTCTAGCACAGCAGAGTACCCACGAAGTTAAAAAAAAGGGCAGACAGCAAATCTTCTGAAAGATCAATGTTCATATCTCTAGCC